CATCCGTCTGTCCAGGGTCAGTGGTGACTGTTCTGCACTACCTGCTGCTCACATCCGTCTGTCCAGGGTCAGTGGTTACTGTTCTGCACTACGTGCTGCTCCCATCCCTCTGTCCAGGCATTTCTCGCTCCTGTTACAGCTCTCACCTATCCCACTTTCTCCTTTAACCTTGTTGTTGTTGTTAAGTGCCGTCGAGTCAGTTCCAACCCATAGCGACCCTGCATAGGGTTTCTAAGGAGTGACTGGTGAGTTTGAACTGCCGACCTTGCAGTTCAAATGGCTTTGCAGTCTGGCACATTAACCCACAACGCCACACCAGAATTCCAAATCCCAGGTATTTTTAAACCAAATTTAATTTTAAAATATTTTAATGAAATGGTGCAAATGAAAGAATTCAACAGATTGTCATTCCAAAAATAATTGTCACCCCTTCCATCCTTTTTATAATCAGATGAACATTAAATAATAGAGCATACCAGCAATAAGTTAGCTTCAGTTTATTATGAAGAATGCTAAGTGCCATATCCATTCTTTATTACTAGAGGATTAACCCACTATTTTATTGATGATAACTGCAGGTGAATAACTATTATGTATAGTATTTTCCTTGTGGATATTACAAATGACCTGAGTTGCAGAATTTGTTGAAACTGATTCATCATTGCTAATACTGGTAATAAAAATGTTCTTTCTTGTGTTTGGTAGTAAATAGCTTTATATTCTTCTAGATGAGTAGAAATAAATAATGTGTTCCCACTTGATGAACTTTGATGTTAGTAATATAATCTCTCTGTTTTGTTTAAAGCCTTCCAAACTTTGAGTGTGTTTGTATTCATTATTTGTAAATCTGTTGCTGCTATGTCCTGTGATGTGTGTTAAAGTTGAAAAATATACTTAATCCAGTGGTCTTACCAGGTCACATATACTAATTTAGGGCAAGTCTTGTGTTTTTGTTTCACCAGCATGCTATCCACAGAAACCAGCATGCATTCTGTGAGGCCATTTATTCTTTCTTCTAATTGTTATCATATGTGAAGCACTGATGGCAGCCAAGAGTTTCAAGAATGAAAATATTCAGCAAAGTTATAAATCCATTTCCCAGCAGTTCTTGCTAGTGATTTATTGCTCTTTAAAGCCTTGACAATAAAATATAACTGGGAATGCAGAAAGTCTAAAAGAATAAAATAAAACTATCAATAAGGATAAACAAATAAATCGAATGACACTGTTTTTAAAAAAAACTATCACAGTTGAAAATCAGCCAAAATTGGCTTTCCCTTCCTTCTATAATGTAGTGTAGAGGTCTTTGTATAATAAGTAGGCCTTTTGTTTTTAAAGGGTGACAATGGCCCCTTCAGCTTTGAAAGTCATAATCATCAAATTCATTTGTTGGGTCAAGACAGTTTAAGTGTACAATTATTGCTCCTTAATCACCCATGATAGTCATCAATGAGATATTAAAAGGGCGGATTTTATTTAAATGACAGCTCTATGAAGGTGAAGATTATGTTTCTAATATGGATTTCTTTGGTACTGAGAATCTGGAGACTATAAAGGTAAGGTTGTAGCTTGGTAGCATGCGATTGGAAAAGAGAGAGAATTCTTTTCTTTTTTTAAATTAATATTTTTATTTTCAGATAATTGTAATTTCACATGCAGTTGTAAGAAATAATACAGAGAGACCCTATGTGCTCTTTGCCCAGTGTGCCCAATGGTACCATCTTAGAGAGCTGTAGTACAATATTACGACTTAGATACTGATACTGTCAAGATATAGGGCATTTCCATCACCACAGAGATACTGAATGCTGCTCTTTTATATCCCAAACTACTTCCTCTTTAACCCTTGCCATTTCAAGAGTGTTGTGTCAATGGAATTATACATTAGGTAACCTTTTGGGACTTGCTTTTTTATATTCTTAATAATATTAATATGTTGGTATGAAATTTCAGAAATTCCTTTTTAGGACTGAATTACTGTAAAAATCAAGTGTAGGATCAGCAGCAGACTGCGAACCTTAGGTCAGCAGTTCAAACCCATCAACTGCTCCTGAAAACCCTAAACAGGGTCTCTCTGAGTCAGAACTGACTCAATGACACTTAACGACCAAAGCATTTCTTTGGTAGCTAGTGAATCTGGACATTCTGTGAAGTACGGATTATTAGACTTTGCTTACTAGAAATTTTTTTCTGTGAACTTGATGTTTGAACTCTTATCCCATCCCAAATCCTTTGTGACTAACTAATACATGAAATTTTATTTCAGGCTGTGTCTAAAGAGAAGTTTTGAGCTAAGATAGATTAAATTTTAGTGTGTCTACTAATTACTCTTTAAATATTTTCAAGATGTGCTGAGGTGTTTTTATCTCTCGTAAAGATGTTGTTTTTATAATATCATCTTGCTTCGTACTTTAATGGTTTCATTACTTTCTGTTGACTAAAAGTGAAAAGTTCAGTTTTAACTGGATTTTTAAGTTTCTTATTTTTCTTTTTTTATAAATAATTTTCTGAGAAGTAATTAC